ATATATTCATATATTTTATAAGCATATTCAATTGATATCTATACTCCATAATTTTTATTAACTATTTTATGGTTGAATATATTAATTATTTTCGACTGCCTTAAATATATTTGTACGTAATTTTTCACTCTTCATCTATAATATGTTGAGAATAAATCATTTAAAATAGTAGTGCATGAAAGATATGAAATTTCACGAAAAGCAAATGCAAGAACTATCAAAACTATGTCAATAGTTAATGAGTCGCGTGATCTGAAGTAATTAATGTTCAATATTTTTTATTATTTATTTTATCTATTTAATTTATAATGCAACTATATGGCTTATATATACATGTGTGTGATTTATCAAAATTATATATTCTCTATAGAGTTGTTATTCGAGTTGAATCAAGGCAAATACTTCATGTTCAAGCAGAGTATTTCATATTCAAACTCGTGTTCGTTTAATGAATAAGTCAGCTCGTAGTTGCTATACTCATTAATAAACAAATAAAAATGAGAGTCCCAGCTCAATTAATAAATAAATTTGATTAATTAATTGATTTTAGTTCACTTAAATATATAAATGAGTCGAGATCAAGTTTTTACTAGTCAAACAAAGATGTATTCGCATACAGTTTTTACGAATAACAATAGTTCCACTAAAAAAGAAATATTTATTTTCGCACAAAAATATAAATAGTATAAGAGAGATGCTAACCCGGCCCACTTTATTTTATTTTTATTATCTTCTTTAACCGATTTCCATCTTTATTAATGCGGACCAAAAAACTTTAACCTAAGTCCGTAAATCTCTCCTGCGCATGTCAACTCTCATTATCTGCACGCAAATTTGAAAATAAAAAATAAAAAGTTTTGCAAAGTGTCATCATCGTACCACCATATCATGCGCGTTGCTGGCCTGAGGTCCATATAATTTTTGTCTAATTAATTAATCGATCGCAGTCTCTATCTGAAAATTGACACCATTACCAATAATGATCACTAAGTTTAATTTTAAAAAATCGATTACCACAAGAAACTTTAAGAGAAAGTGAAAAAGAAAAAATAAA